TAAACTATTTTGGGAAATAGACAGCACATTTCGACTTTACGAGCTGAAGGTACAGAAGTTGAGCCCGTTTTATTAATCGAAGCTATCAGTTTCCGTCAGTAGAAGGCCCTCGTCGAGAGTGGAGGTTCGACCTCCCTTCTGTGGAAAAAAACCCTTAGTAAAAAGGTAATTTTTCTTCTCATTATTTTCACCTAGTTATACAGAGCATGCAGTGTTCTCGTGATTTAGTTTTACCGTTATTACAACCGTATTTCTATACAGGGTTTTTTTTTNGCTTCGTCACTTCCTGGATGGACCTACTTATTCTATCATTGTGTTACTAAAAATGCGATTTCTTGTCTATAAAACGATCTCGAAAACGACAGTCTTAATGTTATTTGAAATCGTAAATATGTTCTGGTATATCATATGCGTCTATCAATATCTAATTAATGGAAAATACAAAATATTAATTTATCCGAATATAATTTACAACTATCATCTGAATATTAAATTATCGCAGATCATTCATTAGTTACAACCATAGTACATCTAAACCGTTGACCTAATGGATCATGTTCGGTCCAATTATCCTATGCAGATCTATTTTCGAAATTTTCAAATATTTATTTAGGTATATAGTCAGTTTAAATGTATATTCATTTCGAATAATTTGAATGACTCCGTGAAGATGGCGCCACTTACGTGTTACTACTGGAATCTCAACCGCAGATTTGATGAACTCTCTAGATGCAACTGAATGGTGTAACCCCAGCCGACGGGTTTCCACCTACCATAGGGGTTACCGAGTGTGATTAACAAAGTGCCTCACCCAGGATAAGGGGCTCTCTTGCATCAGTGCAATGCATCAAAGCTACTTCAACGCGCCGTTCCGTTCATGAGCGACCCAAGTGTGGTGTGCAACTGTTTAAAAGTACTTACATACATACATTTTTGGTAGGAAATGTAAGTACACTTCGAAGAAAAAGTGCGGTAGTTCAATGTTTTATAACTATATACTTAATATCTACATACATACATTTTTGGTACAAATTGTAAGTACACCTTGAAGAAAAAAAAGTGCGGTAATAACTTTTTATAATTATGTACTTAGTGTACCAGTACTTACAATACATACATTTTTGGTATAAAATATAAGCACACTTCGAAAAATAAGTGCAACTTTTTATAATTACATAGTGTAAACTATTGTAGACGCTAACTGCAAGGCTGGCACTGAACGAAAATATAATTCTTTCTTATGATCTACTCTATTATATAGAAAAATCCCACTACAATTCGAATGCATCACGTCACATGTCACCCTATTGTACGCACACTGCACATATTGTAAAAAATATAGAGGTCAACGAAGGTGATTGCTTCAACCCACCCATCAATGTCATTTACCAACTACGAAGAATATTTTAACTATGTATAGAGGTCATATAAAGGTGACCAACTTATGTGACCTTCAATGTCGTTCACGGTCACCTCATACGTCACCACATATGTCATTTCAAGGGCGAAAGTGGAGGGGGGAGACTCACAGACGGTTAAAATACCCTACTATTAACTTATATAACTATATGGATTTCACAGGGTCTAACGGCACTTGCAGTATACGATCATTCAATAAACAAAGAAATCTAAATAAAAAAATTAGCTAAATTTGGAACGAATACACTGAAGATGAATTCTTCGAGACAAAACGTCTGAATCTAGTTCAGGCTGAGTCAGTACAGTATTGGGGGTCTTGAAGGCTTGCAAAAAATGTAATAAAATTTCCAGGGTCGTAATTAAAAAAATGGAGTTGATGATGGTCCTGGAGAGACAAAACGTTACATATAAAAATAGATTATGCCATTCGATAGAGGGCAAAAAGTGGCCATGAGAAAGTGTTCTTCTTTTTCAATATCACCTCAAACAAGCCTGAAATAAAATAAAAACTAATTTCCAAAATTTCGGTGTTTTTTAAATATTTCGAAAACTGATCATGTTAGCCTTGATTTTTTAGAGGCATAATGTTGGTCCCCTGATCACGAAACTTTGCCCCCATTTAAGCTACCTCTTACCGTTTCCGAGATCCCTGTAGTGATAAGCGAATTTGTAACAACCTGTATACAGGGTGATTTCATTTTAAGCACAGAAACTGCAGGAATAGATTAGTTGCCAAAAAATAAGTAGAGTTTGCTTTATAAACTTTTTTTATAAAGAATCTAGTCCTGCAGTTTCTGTATTTAAAGTGAAATTACCCTGTATATAAAATGATACCAGATAATATAACCAATAGTTTGTTGTTACTATGGAATATGAGGTACACTGAATTAAATTTTAAATTAGATAGCCTTGATGATAGTTATCAGTTATTTATTTGATACAGTTATCAGTTCCTTATCACCAAATCGACACAAATTCTTATTACATAGCGTTGTGTAAAATGTTTAACGACTGCTTATATTAGACTAGATTACTACGTATATCATAAAATTTTAGTAATATACATTTTTTTTTTTTTTTTGAAAAGCTGTTGCAACTGCTAGCAATTTATTGTTTTGTTTTCTGATTAGTTTTCTAGATTCTTATTTATACTGATTATTATTTTTAGGAAGACAGAAAACTAGTCGACGTAAGGTTCTTCGATTTTCAATTGTCAAAAGAAGGTTCTCCTTGTTGCGACTTGAGCTACTGCTTTTATTCGGGAGCTTCAACGGAATTGCTGAAGGATTTGGACTATTTTCTGAAAGTCTGCCACGACAGTCTGTCTGAAACCCTAAAAGCATTTGGATGTGATGCTAAACAACTGTATCCTTTTAAGGAGCTGAAGAATGATTGGAAAAAATATTGTAAAATGGGCGTCATTATGTCCCTGATGATATGGAAAATGAAATATACTTTTGAAGAAAATATGTTTGATCTCAATGATACCTTATCGGACGAAGAAATAGAACGAATTCAGAACAATGGTTATGACAAGGATGCATTTGAGAAGATTTCTAGAAATTTACTTTTCCGCTTGTACGAAAATGATTTTTTGTAGTTCCAGCTATTTGAACAAAATACGTTTCTGATTTATTACTCATTAATTTAAGAGATCTCTGTAGCAGTTTCTTGTTTAAAATACATTTTTTACTTTGACATGAAAGTTCTATGCTTATTCAAATAAATGTAAAACAAATTTCATAAAAAAATTCTATCAAATGTTTTTTGATCTCAAAAATTTAGATACAAAAGATACCTAACTTCACAAACAATATTTATAATTGTTGATATTACACGAAACAACAACTATTCGCAAGAATACTGCCTAAATAAACAATCTTACTATACGTATTGTAGAAATAGTAAGATCTGCTGTGCATAGTAGGTATTTTTACACCTCTTTTGGATGATGAACAACAAAAATACAAGATATTTCTTTTGATAGATTTCTGCTTTTTACGTAACAAGTCTTTTTCAAGGGTGATAATAGGACAGCAAGAATACAGGGTGTTTCTTTGCATGCTTGCGTTATCCAACAAATTCCCTATGTCATAATTATTAGATTTGCTGAAGTAAGTAGAGTACAGAAAATATAGCCTATAAAAAAACAAAAAGAGTGGTGTATTTATGGTGTCTATAGACTCAATACAAGCGGAGTAGTAGCTTGTTGAAAGTTGGTTCTTATTCGTCAAACGCAAAATTGAAAGTATGGACATGAAATAACCAAAGACCAATGCATTTTTCAGGGAATACCCATAGCACCTTTTTTTAAGTGCTTGAAAAAACCTTTATTTTTATTTTTTATAAGTCCCTAGCATCAAACCTAAGTGAGTTATGATGAAAATAATGTTGGTCCGAATTGTATTCGGCGACAAAAAACGTGAAAATTACCCCCCCCCCCCAATTATCACCCCAATTGAAAATAATCGTTACCACTTTACAATTTACTTTATTTATGTACTTGTAATATGCTCTAGAAGTTTGATCGGTTTAAAGTGCTTAGTTTTGAAAAAAAAGTGGAGCTTGAAGTTAAAAGAAAATTTTTGTATTTTTGGCAAAAATTGTCTTTTCTTCAAAATAACAAAAACTATTAATGATACACAAATTTTTGTAGAGTACAAAATTGTAGATTTTGCTTTCTTGAAAATTTTGGGTTTTTTTCTGTAGGATAAAAATTAAGAAAGATTTAATAAAAAAATTTGTTGTTATAAAAATTTAAAAAATCTAAATCCATATAAAAATAAAATTCTTATTTTCCCTATTTTTGACTGCAAATTTTAATCAGTAGGATTTTTTTTAAGGTTTGATAAAAAAATACATTACATTTTAAATAAAGATTGTATTATATTTTGAAGTAAAAATAATTTTTTTTAACTAATTGTTTGCTTTTTTTTGCAAGAGATGGTTTTTATAAGGGTTGAAACTTATAAATAAACAATAAACAATTAAAACAGTAAATAGATCTTAATTTAATATCAGTATATGATTAAATTATTCCAAGTTGCTGAATAATATATTTCAACATTAATTTTTAATGATTACTGTCATAGGGGGTGGTTTTAAGGGATTGACAATTTTCAATTCATCATAATTACTTACTTAAAGATGATTTCAAACTATTCCACGCTCGAATTTATCTCTTGAGCAAAATTTACATTTTTCGACAAACCTCGTATACGACTGCAAAAAATTGAAATCTGATTATTTCATTTTGGGTTTTAGGCAATGCAGAACTCTTCATCAAGAATAACTTTTTTTCATAAAACCAAAAGAGAGAAGGAGCGTTAAATTGACGTCCGCGGGATGTCGGTTATTCAATTTTGTATTGCAATGAAATTTGTTTGTACAATTGCGGTACAATAATTGTATTAATTCTAAATTGACACAATTATTGAAGTAAAAATTGTAACGTTAGTGGCTCGTTTAAATCAATCTAAATACGTTCACTGTAAAATCATCGTAGTGGGAGAGCGATAGTCTCCGCCTCCAGCTGTAACGCCCGTGCACCCGACCCCGCAGCGATACCTTAGCAGTGTACAGAGAACATAGGAGAGAATACTAAAGCTCATTTAGTAGTGATTGTGATTAGGACTGAGATACAAACGACATGTCTAACGATATTTCTCCAGAAGTTTGCAAGACGTTGAAGCGGTTGGTTAGCAGAGATGAGGAAAATGTAGAGATAGCTCTTTATAACCCCAACAAGAAGGGCGAGGGGTTTTCGGGAGAAGTTATTTTCGTGACGTTAAGGGATAAAAAAACTCAGAAAGAGTTGAATGTTACTGTCAAACAAGCGTTTAGAGATCAGTCGATCCGAAATTCGATCCCAGTAAGGGATATATTCATGAACGAGATTTACTTTTACTCGAAAGTTTGGCCCACGTTGGACAAGTTTCAAGAACAAATTCCAATGAAGTACCGCTTCCAGAAGATACCCAAATGTTTGACAACAGCTTCGAATGATAACTTTGAGCACTTGGTCATAGAAAACTTGAAATTTCAGCATTTCCAAAATCACGATAAGAAACTGCATTTGAACAAGGAATACTACGAACTTATTTTGAAAGAGTACGGGAAGTTCCACGGTTTATCATTCGCTTACAAAGCTTTGCACCCTGAAGAATATGCTGATTTGACGAAGGGACTTATAGATGTGTATTTACGTACGATCAGCGAAGAGTTTTTTCAAAAAAGTATGAAGTATTCATATGAAATATGTATTGAAAGTCTTCAATCGGGAGTAGATGATGTTGTGATCGAAAAGTTGGGAAAATATCTTCAAAATTATAAAAAGTTACTCCCCGATATTGTGGCAACTAAAACGAACTACACTGCTATTACTCATGGAGATTGTTGGAGCAGTAACATGATGTTTAAATACGACGTAAGTAGCAAATAATATTTAACACATACGCCAATATTAATTAATTTTTACAAACCAAAAAAGAACATGAAGATTGAAAATGTGTTTGGTGAAAATGAAATTTGGGATATACTTAATGTGAAGGAAGTTCTTTATCTGCTACATATTTCTTCTTAGTTAGTCCTTTATCTACTACATAATCTGAATTCATTTTGAACCCTATTAATAATCTTATTAGGTTGTACCTAAACAGTTTTTTTTTCTTAAAATAACGTCCAGTAAAGTGAATTATTGAACTCAACTAAAATCTGACCTAGCCTATATTTCAAAATATCTGAAAATTTATACAGGGTGTCAATGATGTTTTGCCAAACTTTAATGGCGTATTCCACCGATGAAAATAATCAACATTGCCCTATAAGAATTTCTGATAGGACGCTCCCCTACGGAGATACAGGGTGTTAGAAGATTCAGATAAAATTTGGGGCATGACCTTTTTTTTAGTAGGGACTATTTTTTCATGGATAACTTACTCCAAAATACACTCTAGTGGGAGATTTTTTTTAAAAATCGTACACTGATTTTTTAAATAATTTTAAATGTTTTTAAAATGTACAATCAATTTGTGGCAATAAAGTATTCTTGTAAAGTATTCGTGAAATTTAGAGGTCTTTAGATAATTGGGAAATCAAAGAAGATAATTAAGGAGGTATATCGGGGTCCGAGGGAGTGAGGAGCGCAGGGGGGGTCCTATGCTTTTCTTATGGGACTAAAGCTCGCTGCCAATTTGAAAAAATTAAATTCTATTGAAATTATTTGCGATAAACATTATCTATATAGCAAAGAAATCTACTCATATGCACATAGCATACATATTGACTAATTAATAACATAAAAATATCATATTTAAGTAGTTTTAAATTATATTTAATGAACGCATAAAGACTATGTAGAAGTGGCAGAAGCGCTAATAATTGACTAGCAGTTGTACACACTGCGAACCTACCTCGGACATCGGAGATATTGCGCGTCAAATTCGGGTAAAGATGCGCACGCGTTCAAAAATGTATTGTGTATAAACTATGTACAATATAATTATTATATATAGCAAATATATCGTATTATCCTCGCGAAGATTTATACAGGGTGATTCACAACTTATCCAAAAAAATTTGGGAATAGGTGCAGCATGAGAAATGGAATCAATATCGTAAAAAAAAATTTTGTAAAATCCTTATAGTTTCCGAGAAAAAAATTATTGAAGTTGGACTACTTTTAAACACTACATCGCTGGACAACTGTAGTCTCTAGCGTCATTCGCAATACGCGTGAGCCACGTGGCGTCTGCGACTCCCAATACAGTCGTCGTTGCGGTAGTGTTTATAATAGCTTTTTAGTACCCAGTTAGTGTCAAAAATGGCTTGTGTATAGCAACTCGGAGTTGATGGATATCGTTTTAATTCATGGTGAAGTAAGACAACATTATTTTGTATTATGGTGAAACATATGTGTTATGGTGAAGCAGAACAACATTTGTGTTAGTTTATAGAAACTTAGTAAGACAGGATCAAATGTGTTTACACGTCGGTGGACAAAATTTTGAACAGTTATTGTAACATCAGGTATGTCAAATTATTTTGTTAATTAAAATCACAAATTAATTTCATTAATTAATAATAACAATAGCGGCAAAATCAGTTGAATTTGCTGATATAAAATAGGTGCTATAAAATTCTATTTATTTCTTTCCTTGCGAAATTCTTTCAAGTTTTTGTCAGTTTTTATCACTGTTGCCGTAACGGTCGTATTGTGCGAGGTCAGATTTTACAGTGAACCAGTTTCCAGTGCCGTGCAGAAGTGTATTTTTAAATTATTTTTGAACTGCCCTTTTAGATTTTTTCTTTACGAAATCGTATTTGTAAGAGTCCCCTGAACATCCAGATTTTTTTTTGGATAAGTTCTGAATCACCCTGTATGCTTTATTTAAAATACGTAAATCATGTGAACTTGTAAAACAACGAGAATTATGTTCATTTAGTTCTAAAGAAATTAAATGACACTCGCGCCCATCTCTCGTCCAAGTCAAAGAAAATGTTGGATGCAATTTTGAAGGTTCTGTGATAGAAATTACATTATTACTCACTGTTCGTGTTTTTAATCTCTATTTTAGTAATGTTACAAAAGTTTGGCAACTATAACTAATTTTTTAGATATAAATTTTGCTGAGAAATATTTATGTTCCTTTGTTATTCCGTACAAATGCTTTTATCAAGTATTACTAATTATATTAATCAAGTAAAGAAAACTTTTTGTAACCCTAAATATTGGGTACGGATTACGATGTTTTTATAACCTATTAAATATATTAGTAAAAGGATTTATCAACTTTATTTTTTATTCCAATAAATATATCACTGCTTCCTAGCATTTTTAAATTAATTTAGTTTTTTAAAAACATTACAAAAAATAATTTATTGTTGATAACAATGTACATGGGATTTAGGAAAAATGTATGTGTTTGAAATCAATTTCGTTTTTATCAAGTCTTTCAAATGTATTCCCTCCTTGCTGTCAGCTGATTGCGATGTTCCCACATTAACCCTCAAGTCAGACAGAAATGCAATTATTGGTTTCTGTTTCTAATTAATACAGCTGTACCATGTTCAAAACTTACATTAGTTTTACATAAAACATAAGATAATACTGTGTATTATTTCTACATTTTTTTTTTTTCAGTTACGGTCAAAAAAAGAACCGCCACCGTCCATCTTCGCCATATAAACCTATGTTAAAATGAACAACTTTCAACAACAATATTTCAAAATCTAGATTACAAAATTTTTTTAAAAAAGTATGACGCACAGAGGGAGCACTGGGTAATACGCTATATAAATTTCAAGTACATCTGTGCATTTGAGTAAACCCGATAGTACTTAAGTACCTACGTTGCTATTTATCATTTTCTGTAGATTGCTAAATGTGTAATAATAAATTCAATACCTAATGTTTTTGAAATATTTCAAAACATTACACAACGGCACTGTTTTGTGTGTTGCAAAAAGTTTATTATTATTCTTATAACTAAAACCAGATTTTAATAAAAAAAAATATGGAATTCAATTCATTTCAACTGTTCCCCCGACCTGAATCCCTTTAGTCAATAGAAAATGGTAGACGTAGGTACTTAAGTATCTTCTTATTTAATTTCCCAATTACCTAAAGACCAGTAAATTTTACGAATACTTACAAGAATACTTTATTGCCACATTAATAAAATAAAATTACTGTCCCAAATAAAATTACTAGGCAAGTGCCTTGCAATATTTATGAAATCTGTGTATGTTATCCATTGTTTCATTTTCATTGACACTACAAAAACTGTTAAGGCTACACTTTCTGATTTCAATTCAACAGGACTTCAAAAGGGTGACGGATGTAAGGTTTCTAGACTTTCAAGCTGCCAGAGTCGCCTCTCCTTGTTGCGACCTCTCATATTGCATTTACTCAGGCGCATCCAAGGATGTGTTGAAAAACCTGGATTATTACCTCCAAATTTACCACGATAGCTTGTCCGAAACCCTCAAGCAGTTCGGATGTGACTCCCAGGAACTTTACCCCCTGCAGGCACTGAAAGACGACTGGAAGGTATTTTGCAAGATGGGATTTACCAGTTCTATAATGGTTTGGAAAGTGAAGTTCACATATGAGGATGAATTGAAGACCTTTGAAGATCTAAAAGATGACGACCTTGACAAAATTTTCCATTCTGGCTACGACAAAGATGCGTTCAACAAAAGCATTAAAGATCTGGTCTATCACTTAAATGAAAATGATTTTTTGTGAAGTTAATTAAACAAAATAAATAAACTATTACTCATGTTTAATTGATACTTTCTTTTCCTTGGAAATTATAATCAATTTTAGATTTTTTTAACCAGAGCTTCGCCTGGAACGGTAAATTTTACTAATAAAATACATGCCTATCTCTTTTTTCATCATCTAGACATCTGTTTCTTTCTAGGTTAAGCTGTTAACGAAAAACCAGTGCAAGACCGTAAAACTTTGTGTACAAATACTTTTGTGGAGACAATGTTCACAGTTTTTAAGTTGTAAGACCTGTGCTTACAGGATATTTAGATTAATTTTTTAAGAGGGGGTAGTTGGATTTGTTGAAATAATTTTTCAAATATAAAATGTCCTGTCTAACGCCGCCACTGTGGCCAGTATATCATACATCTAACGTTCTTGCACACGGGCGGCATTTTAAATTACGTCTAGTTATTAAATACATCTTTCCACACAAAGTCGTTGCCGAAAAGTTTGACTGTCAGCTGCCGATCGGTAAAACAACGCTCGTGTGTAAGAGAGATAATTCTACTTATTACTACAAGCGCCCTCTTTATTATTTTAATTATTGCTTTTATGGAAATGTATGTTTGGTTGCATAAGGTATGGCAATATAGTCCAAAACATGGTTTATGCAATATTTATGTCCTTTCAAATCAGTCACCATGATGTCGATACAATGATACATATAAGAACATTTTCAAGCATTTGTAAATCTCTTTGTCATTCTTTATCGAAAGTTTTTAATTGATATATTATAGAATTATTTTAAGCGTATTTTTTTTTTATTTATATACTTTCTATTTTGATTGATTGAGGTGTACCTACCAACAAGGTATCAAAATGGAAGGCAGGTTTAAGATGTGTATTTCTATTTTCATTTCATAAGTACGTAACTGATTTTTTTTTAAGTTATTTTCTGACTACTCTTAAAAATATAATAAATTCGAAATATAAAATTTTTTAATAGAAAATTGCACACCCTAATGAGAAAAGTAAATACCTACTTTATTATACAAAATTATAATAATACATAGTAGAAACTTTATACAAAGAGGTTGGTTTATTTTTAATTATGTGGGGGTTGCATCAACCCCCAACTTTTTTAAATGGAAGGGTAGGTTGTTACACTTTTTATTTTAAAGCTCTTTCAATTGCAAATACAACTACGTACTTTCTTTGTTACTTTTTATAAGAAATGTGCCGGAAATATAAAATAAGGAAATGTTTACTAAAATTACTTTAATGCAAACAATTTTCAAAGTGCCCTCAACCTTGTTGCTAACAATACTCTAATCGATAATAAAAAGCATTCCGAACATTTTGTAACACTAACAATGTCGTGTTTAGTAGCATAGCTTTTTAGATAAAAATAAAGAAATCTAATGGGGAAGATCGGGTGATCTTGCTGGCCACTCAATTGGTCCCCTTCTTCAAATTCACCAATCCGAAAACACTTCGTTGAGATAGGTGAGTACATTTTGCAAATTGCAATATTTTCTCTGCTGTAAGTTATACTATAAATGTAACGGAGTGCCTAAGGTGTATCAATTTCGCTGTTGTGAAGTGTACATGTGTAATCGAAATATGAATTAATAAAACAAGTCTACATTATCGTTTATATAAAATTATAATATTGTATTTATCCTAGAAATATGTTTTATTAAAGTAATGTAATTTTGTATCAAGTATATTTTCCAAATTCCATGTTTTCAGGTATTGTCACAGTTATTTTTTTCAAATGAAGGGCATATAGTATACATATTTTGTGTATATTTTCTACATTTGTTTAATACACAAATATACTTTTAACAAATTCTTGCGATTTTGATGTATTCATTCACAATTCACAGATAAACAAAATAATATGTGCAAATAGAATATTCGAAGTTCCCGCAGCAGTATGTAGTTCGATCTTTCTATTCAAGTAGGTGGCACCACATGCCGATAGATTGTCACAGCTGTTGACAACAGTTAGTACTGTTAGTAGAGAAATCGAAAATTTATTTGGTTCCCAGTCGGTTGCAGTGTGTAGTTTTGTTGACATCAGACACCGGTACGGATCTAGCTGGCCGGCTCATCGCCAATCGTTGTTTGCGTCATCTCAACAAATGAGTAGTTGTGACTTGCGGCAGTTATAGCGCATCGAACCGAAGCTCACTATTCAACCACAAATAGGTGTATCTCCCTAAGAACGTTTCTCGTTTCTTTGTATAGAAAATGTACATACAGGGTGTTCCACCTAAGAAGGAGTCCTCTGTAACTCTGCAACTGTAAAATTTTGCAGTTTTCACAGTTCGTTTTCGCATAAATTACTGTATATTGTTATCTGTGACCAAAACGTGTACGTTATTCAGACTCGGAAATACTGAGACCTACATTGAATAATCATACGTGTTGAAAAACTTTTTTTTTCAAATTGAATGACCCATATTAATTATTATGGATGAATGTAAAATTGAATTCAATTAATATAGGCCATTCCATTTGAAAAAAAAGTTTTTAACTCGTAAGATTTTTAAATATAGGTCTCAGTATTTCCCAGTCTAAATAACGTACACGTTTTGATCACAGTTGACAAGATAGAGTAATTTATGCCAAAGCGAACTGTGAAAACTGCAGGTTTCCAACTCTTACCGTTTAGACGCTATCTAGCCTCATTTAGAGAGCTGAAATCGTGATTTTTTTCAAAAACAACTGATTGTCTCGAAAATGGTATGTTTTAAACACCATGTACATTTAATAAACTCTACCTAATATTAACCAAGGAATTAAAAAACGCACTAATATACAGGGCGTTCCATTTAAAGACAAAGTTTTGTAGCGCCCACGCGAAATGGAGCACCCTGTAAAGCTAAAAATATTTTCTTTACATAGCCCACATGATTATAGGCAACTTTTATTACAACCATTTTTTGTATACATTTTACAGTTGCAAAGTTACAGAAGAATCCCTCTTAGGTGGAACACCCTCTCTAATATTCATTTTGATATTGACATTATAGTTTGAATGGAATATTAATTTAACACCCTGTATCTTTCTTATTATCAATATTTTATCAAGGCAAGTTGGCTCAAATTGTAATATTTTAAAGTCACAAATCTACCATACTTCTATGTACAATTACTTAAGGACCACCCTGTATATCAGCAGATATGATAAGATAGGAGAGCTTTTTTAGACTTACGTCAGTCGTGATTGTACGCGACGCCGTGCGATACCAAAAACAAAATAAATGTCTAACGATATTCACCCACAAGTCCGCCAGACGTTGGAACAATTGCTCAACGGAGGTGAAGGCGATTTGGAGATAGTTTCCCATGACCCTAATAAGAAGGGCGAAGGGTTCTCGGGAGCTATTGTTTTCGTGACATTACGAGATAAAAGAACTCGCAATGAGCTCAACGTTATTGTGAAGCAAGCTTACAGAGGGCCCTCGGTCAGGGAGTTGCTGCAGAGGGATGTTTTCATTAATGAGACATATTTTTACACAAAGGTTTGGTCCAGGCTGGATAAATTCCAAGAACGCATTCCGGAGAAGTGCCGCTTCCAGAAAGTACCCAAATGTTTAGCTTCGGATTCGAACGAGAGCATTATGTTCTTAGTTATGGAGAACTTGAAATTGCAGCATTTCCACAATCACGTGAAGAAAGTGCTCTTAGACAGGGAACATTACGAACTTATTTTTAAGGAATACGGGAAATTTCACGGTATATCCTTCGCCTATAAAGCTTTACACCCTGAAAAGTACGTAGAAATGGCAGAAGGGTTGGTAAACATGTATTCGATTCTAGCCAAGAAACACTTTTATCAAAATAGCATAAAGTATGCTTATGAAATTTGTGCTGAAAGCCTTCAACCAGGAGTAGACGATGCTGTGATCGAAAAGTTACGACACTATCTTCAAAATTATAAAGGAATATTCTTAGAAATTGCAGAAGCTGAAACAAAATATGCTGTTATTACTCATGGGGACTGCTGGAGTAGTAACATGATGTTTAAGTATAACGTAAGTAACAAAAAATATTCCTGGTATGCACTGCACTAATAGGTAAACAGTATTTTAACATGCATTTTTTAAAAATGTTATCGAAACGTCAAGAATATACATTCCTTATAGCGCAGAAGGTTAGGTAGGTACTATAAAAACTTGGTATGGCGAAACCCTCCCATCCAAAAGGAGAACTATAAATATTGTTTATTCTCTAATAAAATAATATATACAAAATAAATAATACATTAATATGTTAATTGTTTAATAAGGATAAAATTCAATTAGTTTAACAATCCCCATGATACAAAATAGTGTAATTTTATATTAATATTGAAACTTGGAGTCACTATCATAAACTTGTAAATACTTAATAATCAGTAAGATCAAATACAACTTTTCCTGGGCCATTTTTGCAGATCATAAAGGATAACAGAATATTAAAAAGTAAAAACATTCTGGGCAATATGGAGGTATTTTCTTTTATTTTCAAGATTCATTGATTAACTCTTTTAAGGATTTTTCTCAGTATCCCCAAAAGTAATCGACATAATCGTATTAAAATTTGGCAGGTTTATGATTTGGGAAGGCCTTATATATCCTGGTTTGGTTAATTTTTAAATAAGTCATAGAGGGCGTTTGTTATGTCCCAAGAAAATATTGGATGCAATTTTGAAGGTTCTGTGATAGAAATTACATTATTACTACTCTCTATTTTAGTAATGTTTTGCAACTATAACTAATTTTTTAGATATAAAGTTTGCTGAGAAATATTTATGTACCTTTGTTATTCTGTACAAAGGATTTATCAACTGTATTTTTATTCCAATAAATATATCACAGCTTCCTAGCCTTTTTTAATTAATTTAGTTTTTTAAAAACATTACAAAAAATAATCTGTTGTGGATAATTTATTGTTGATAACAATGTACATGGGATTTAGGAAAAATGTATATGTTTGAAATCAATTTCGTTTTATCAAGACTTTCAAATGTATTCCCTCCTTGCTGTCAGCTGATTGCGACGTTGCCACATTAATCCTCAAGTCAGACAGAAATGCAATTATTGGTTTCTGTTTCTAATTAATACAGCTGTACTATGTTCAAAACTTACATTAGTTTTACATAAAAAATAAGATAATACTGTGTACTATGTATGGAAAAGTTTTGTTTCACAATTTCTACATTTTCTTCTGAGTTATGGGCAAAAAAAGAGCAGCACCGTCCATCTTCGTCATATAAACCTATGTTAAAATGAACAACTTTCAACAACAGTATCTCAAAATCTAGATTCAAAAAAATATGACGCACAGAGGGAGCACTGGAATAAATTTCAAGTACATCTGTGCATTTTAGTAAACCCAATATACCTCCTTTATACATCAAAACACTTATGTACACCATCCAAATTTCCGAATTTCGCTGAATCGTTCTATTTTCAAGAAAAAATTGCAACAATTGAAGGTGGTCCACTAGATACGATGACATTTTATTTTTTACTATACAAGTAACATTTTCACGAACATTGATTATTCTTATCAGGTATACAAAATACATGCAAATTTGATAATTTAATTTAAAAACATTGACAGTTAACAGGAGACCTTTTACACCAAATGCAAAGATTAGAGAGAGGAAAGATCGCGCCACGACTACTTCTAAGGTGGCGCCACCTGTAGTTTCAGATAGTAGTAGTTTCTGCCCTATAAATGAAAAGGTATTCTTCAGAAAATAGCTGTTAGTTGTCAGTTGTCAAATTTCGAAGTGTTGGTTTTTGTGGTTCTTTCTGTTTATTATTTCCATTTATCTGTTACATGTTATTTTCTATTTCCTTGATTATTTGGCAATGTGATATTATGAGTTACAGTTCTTATTGTATAGTTTAAGACAGTAGCAAAACAAAAAACAACATAGTCAATATCAGAGCTGGGCGCATTTTGACAAAAAAATATACCAAATTATAATTTAAATATAAAATAGTATTTTGTATTTTGTAGTTAAAATACTATTGTTATAACCCCAAAAATATTTTGTATTTCAAATACTTTTAAGTATTTTGTATTTTGTATTTTGTATTTTATTTTGTATTTTGTATTTTGTATTTTGTATTTTGTATTTTGTATTTTGTATTTTGTATTTTGTATTTTGTATTTTGTATTTTGTATTTTGTACTTTGTACTTTGTACTTTGTACTTTGTATTTTGTATTTTGTATTTTGTATTTTGTATTTTGTATTTTGTATTTTGTATTTTGTATTTTGTATTTTGTATTTTGTATTTTGTATTTTGTATTTTGTATTTTGTATTTTAAAAAAGTATTTAAAATCTTCTAAAAGTATTTTATATTAAATATATGTTTTATACATTAATTGCCAGAAAAAATACAATCTTTCACACATATTTTGACCCTTTGTAAGCTGTAGGTACAGCATCTGACGTATACAAAGCTTGAAGTATTCAAAACATCAAGATTTAAATTTCCCGGTATCGTAGCAGCATGTGTTGTTCTCTTTGGTGCATCTGATGAGTTGAATAGATAAGCCTAACACAGTGCTGCCGATTGAGATCTAATGTTTTAGATTTATTGCTAATTTTATGGTTTTAGTTATTTTCATGGTGACCTTATTCTTATGATGCAGCTTAACTGTTCATCATAAGACAAGTTAAATGGACTGTATCTTCTTTTTTTTATTATAATACTGGGAAAATTATGAACAATGTGAAGTTTCTATCTCTTTATTTATGTTGTCAAGTACATGTATATTTGTTTTTCTAAATTCAATTCAGAGATATCTGCTTTTTTATAAAAACACTGTTACTTAGCTACCTCTACAATTTATCTATTACAGAACCACAACACTTATTATGTGCTTCCTATCTTTCTTCTCCCTAATTTTTGACCGAATGTTCCAAATGATTGATTTTCGTTAAAAGTATTAACTAATTGACCTTTCTCACAGTTTTTACGTTCTGTATGTGTTCTACGTAAATTTCAAAACCAAACATAGATGACCCTCTTCCAATCTTTGTGGAATTTTCTGGACTAAGTAGCTTAGCCAATTTTATGAAAAGCACGTTTTTTGTGCAGAATTAAAAAGTACGTAACAAAATTCTAAGTTGAAACTTGCGTATTACTGGTTTACCCCTTATAAGATATTTTGTGGTATATTTTGTTCTATTTATACTTATTTTTAGTTGATGTATTACAAGAACTATAAATACTAGACTTAATATTTTTAACTAAATGTGTTTGCTGCAGGATTCCAAAAAGGTGACGGATGTAAGGTTTTTCGATTTTCAATTTGCCAGAAGCGCTTCTCCTTGTTGCGACCTCTCTTATTGTCTTTACTCGGGAGCATCGAAGGAAGTCTTGAAGGATCTGGACTATTTACTCCAAATTTACCACGATAGTTTATCCGAAACCCTCAAGCAATTTGGATGTGACTCTGATAAACTTTTTCCTATGCAGGCACTGAAGGAGGATTGGAAGAGATTTTGCAAGCTAGCGCTAACCATGTCGCTGATGGTTTGGAGAGTGAAATTCGTATACGAGGAAGAATGGAAGGACAATACCGATGAAGCAATTAATGTCCAAGAACAGATAATACAGTCAGGCTACGATGAAACCGCGTTCAACAAAACTGTTAGAGATTTGCTCTATCACTTACATGAAAATGATTTTTTGTAAAATTAAACAAAATAAATTGTTAAAATAACCAATATCTTGTTGTTCTCTGATCGTCGCAAATCTCTTATGCTTAAAAATAAAACATTAAAATGGTGAAAGTTCGTAACAATTATTTTTTTTTCCAATAACTTGTATTAACGCATATCTCCCTATGGGATAGACATTAAAAAAAAACACTGATATGTTCTAATATTTTATTGTCATGTATTATTATGCACGAACATTTTTGGAATAGTATCAGTAAAATATTGATTTTAAATTTCTTGCCTTGTCGTTGTTTTAACCTAATTACGAATTTGAAAAATATGAATTAAAGTACCCAAAGATTCACGTCATCCAAATAATCGTATGTATTAAAAATAATTTAGGTACTTACCAAAAAGCAAAATTCAGTATTTTTTAAAAGCACAAGTACAAAACAAACTACAACCTATGCTCAAAATGTCCACCACCATTATTGAAAATGGTCGACATCTTCGAATCCAATTTTCGCGCATTCGCTGGAAAACACTTCAAGAAACGGAAATAGTGGTATGCAAAAAACACTCAGATATGGTCCAATTCCAGATACCAACTGAATTGCGTATTGCTGGACACCTTAGTACCTCGTGTTATCCGCCGCGCCGTTGTCACTTTGCTCGATATGAATTTTATCGAATTTTAAATTTATTACAACGCTAATTATTATTTGTTAGAATTAAGCATTAAGAAGTTCAAAAAAGTGATGCACATTGTATTTTATGGTATTCTATGCACGCAGTTATGTCAATATTCCTTTATTAATCGAAGTTTTGTTGGAGATTTTGATATTTTTTTTTCTCGGAAATGGTTGAGTTTACGACCGATGTCATATAATATTTGTTGTTTATTTTAATGTATTCTATCGTCTGTTAAAATTAAGGGAGTCAAACTTCTAACACCCTGTAGATTTTGTATCCAAAATTGGTACAAAACTGATAAAAATGATATTTTAAAACATATTTAATAATATTGTGCATACGCCAGATAATATTTTAATCTAGATGGCCTTGAAACTCCAATCGACATACATATGTACATGCAATGTTTAAAAATACAAGTACGGATCTTCGAGGACTGCTAGAAGTTTAATTTTACTTTAAAAAAATCTGTAACTACAGCTTTTCAGACAAACTCTACTTTGTTACTCTTAATTGAAGTTATGATATATCTGTGGTAGGTTTAGAATCTTAATTCTGCGGAACCATGGTACTGATACTTACTGGCAAAGATCGAAAAGATTTCTTGACTTATCCTCAATAATAACTGAATAACATGGTACATTTTTTGCAGATATTATACATCTTCATGTCGTATAATAATTTCATAGAGAAAAATATCCGTGACTTCCGAAAGATTACTATTTAAATTTTAAAGTAAACGAAATATCAGTACCATCAAAAACCGGTAAATTTATTTTAGCCCAGTCATTATAGACATGAAAGAGCCTGTTTCGGGAAAAAAATACTATTAGAAGTTTCCCTGCGGAATATTGTTCGGAAACCTGTTATAAATAAAATATCAATAAATCAACTTGAGGCTAGTTGGGAAACTTTGTTTTAACAGTGGTCAAAGTTATGGAAAAGTGGTTTTTTGACTCACGTAAAAAAGGTATTATAGCAAAAAAAAGTTAATACAAAAAAGGTAGGTATTAAATAAGCCTATAAAATGAAAAAAGTCAGATTAAATTCCGATAATTTGTTTATGCACAAGAGCTCAAAAATGGTCGAAAATTGCCGTTTTTTTCAATTGCTAATAATTAATGCAATTTTCATCGCAGACACTTGTAATTCAGTATTTTTGAGGCTTTTTACACCCTTAATAAGTGGTAAAAATTTCAGCTCGAAAGCTTCATTGGTTTGATGTTGGCGGAATTTGTTACCTAAGAAGATGCTATTTTTCAATTCATTTTTCCCAAGCTCACAGACGTTGTAGGGTTTTGATCATTAGTTGTTTTTGTACCTAAATAGTTGTATTGACATCGACATTTACCGAGAACTAAGTTTTTCAAATTCAATTTGTTTAAAATTGACTTTGAAAAAATGTTAATATTTATTAAATTGTTAAGATAGGTAATTATTATAAAATAAAATAGTAACCTCTTTACTTTAGTTTTCTTCAAATTTAAAAAAAAAATCGTTGTTGTAAGTTGATTAGAAGCTGAGATAATTTTTTTTATTTATTTAATCGCAGTGACCTTAATTATTAATATTAAGAGCCGAAATTTGAAGAGAATATACATTAAGAGCTATATTTTCATGTCCTACATTAACATTAAGGTGAATTCAACTATTTAATTTCGAAAAAGAAGATAGCGGCGATGTGTTCTATTACTTGGTCTAGCGAACGAGTGGGGAAGGCGAGGCTTAGCACGTGCGCTTACGATGTAATAAATATTAAAATTTTTTCAGTCATTTTTAAATAAATTAAATTTGAAAAATTAAATTATCAGTAAATGCATATGTCAATACAACTATTTAGGTACAAAAACAACTAATGATCGAAACCCTACAACGCCTGTGAGCTTAGGAAAAATGAATTGAAAATAGCATCTTCTTAGATAACAAATTCCGCCAACGCCAAGCTAATGAAGTTTTTGGGCTGAAATTTTTACCACTTAAGGGTGCAAAAAGCTTCAAAAATCCTGAATTACAAGTGTCTGCGATGAAAATTGCATTAATTATTAGCAATTGAAAAAAGCGGACAATTTCGACCATTTTTGAGCTCTTGCGCATAAACAAATTATCGGAATTTAATCGGACTTGTCTTATTTTACAGATTTATTTAATACCTACCTCTTTTGTATAAACCTTTTTTTCTCTATGGATAACAGGTTTTTTACGCCAGTCGAAATACTACTTTTTCATAATTTTGACCATTGTTTTAATAAAGTTTCCCAATTAGTCTCGAGTTGATTTTTTGATATTTTGTTTATAACACGTTCCTGAACAATATTCCGCAGAAAAACTTCTAATAGTATTTTTTCCCCGAAAAAAAGCTATAATGATTGGCCTATTTAGCATACACTGAAGAATCGTCGGTTCAGTTCAACATAATATTCTGAAATTTTGATGACTAATTGACAACAGGCTGATAACGACTGTGTAAATTTTCCAATATTTTCGCTCCTCAATCTTTGAGATAAATATAATCAAAGTGCAAGACTCCGACAGAGGTCTATTATTTAATTTGAACATTTTCTAACATATACCTGGAATTATATTTGTTTGATACTTAATCTTTGTTGATGTTGATAACTGTTAGGTACTTGTAATTTGTATTATTGAATTGATATTATTATATTTTATTTGTTTATAAGAGAAGAATGATTATGATTTTTATTATTTTTTGTCTCGGGTGTGGGTTCCTTTCGTTCGTGCTGTATATTATGTTTTGTTATAAAAGATTATGTTGTTATGCAAATGAAAGATGGAAATTATTTTTCAAATGTCATATATTATGAATCGAGCAAGTTATCTTTTAACAATGAACACTTTGTTGTAATCATTAAAACTAAATTCATACAGTGGTATATCCCCCCTTTATGTCTACTTTGTTAGGTACCTTTATTTAAAATTATGGAAAATTTTACGTTATGATTTGTATAGCGCTTTTTTTTATAAATTTGTACAGATAGGCCTTTTATGTGTGTCGACACTTACTTTTGACAATTTGTATTCCCAACACGTCGTAGTCGCGCTGCATTCCTCGTTTTGTAGACTGGATATCTAGCTGCTTTCGTACTCCTAACAGTCATCGGCGTATCCTCTGGAATCGGCGTATTTGCACTCACTGCACTTATTTTTAATTGCACTGATTTGTATTACCCTTTATTATTTATCACTTATATTAAGAATCAATTTGTTGTTGAACTATTTCGGAACTTTGTTGATTTCTAATTTTTGTTGTATTCGGGCTTATGTACGTTCGAGAAATGTCACTTTCGGATTTATGACAGCACCATCGCCTTTGACGTTTCACCACCAGCTAACTACGTAAGTGCTTGAATATTTTGTTAATTCGTTGTTATAACCATTTTTCATTTCAGGAGCACTACTATCGATGTGAGTTCTCTCGCTGCCAAAAATGAACTGGACTACTCAATCCCACGCAGAGATTAAATAGCAAAACAAAAACAAACGAATATTGCTATGGCAACAATAAATTGTAATTTTGTAAAATTTTATTTTAGAAATTCTAGCTTTTACTTAAAATTGGACTGCATGTACTGTTTATATTTCCTTTCCTGAATATTTTGATACCACTTTCACCTTGCTAGGTTATGTTGTAGTTCATATTGCAATGTAACACATTTTACCAAATTACACTTATATTTTAATGCATGGAATAAATTTCTGTCTATACATCACTTTTTACACAGCCTTTATGCATTTTTTTAGGTAGAAATGGACAAAAGTTTTCAACATCCCGTTCCGAAGAACATTTATACAGTCTAAACAACAAATTGACCTTTGCTTTGGGTATTACTTATCTTAAATGGATTAACAAGGGTCTCTTACACACTATATACATGATTTTCTACTACAGGAACATTTAAACACAAAGAAATTTTCAAATTTTTAACGGAGCTATACATGTCAATACAATTACGTCACATAACTGCTTTTAATAACGTGTGAGTTTGATTCCACATATACATTCTACATTAAGGTACTTTATATTTTATTTATTTATTGGTTTGATAGCATGTTTCGAACCTATATGTGAAAAAACTTTTCTTTCCGATACAGTACTGTCAAAATTGTACAATATTTTTCAAATATCCTCATGTCAGAACTTTTATTGAATTATTAGCATTTTGGGATTGTTCTTTATTGTTCTGTGCTACTACTTGTAGAACATGAGCTTATTTGCATAATTTCTGGAGTATGCAAACTCAAATTATGTTTTGAATTTGACAGTTCTGTCGTTTCGTTATAACGCTTTCGTACAGTTACAGATTTTTTTCTATTTAAAACTCATAAATACATCCTTCATTTATATAAAACATAACAATATATTTTTATAAGGATACTTTTTAAATTTACGCTAGGACGCGAAAGATATTTATAAGTAACAAGGGCGTTATTTCTCTTTTGAATGCATATCAAAATAGTCGTAGAACATTAGTGGAATAAAATATGAAGTAAAAAGCTCGAATTGTGTGAGCCACCCTGTATCAGTAGATATTACCAAGAGATTTGCTATAAATAAGGAGAGTATATACAAGCTCACGTAGTTGTGATTGTGTTCGAATCTGTGCGAATAGCAAAGAAATGTCTAACGATATTCCCCCAGAAGTTTGCAAGACTTTGAAGCGGTTGGTCAACGCAGATGAGGAAAATGTAGAAATAGATTTTTATGACTCCAATAAGAAAGGTGAGGGGTTTTCGGGGGAGGTTATTTTCGTAACGCTAAGAGATAAAAAAACTTACACAATCTGGGGTATTATCATACTACGCAGTTATAGCAAGATAGAGACAAGACTAAACCGTTAAAGGACATAAACAAAATGTCTTGGTAGGGGATGGCACACGATTCAAATATTCTAAAACTATCAGGGCGATTATTAAATATTATCAGTCACTGTTAGAGAATGGTCTACGAAAGGTATATATTTAGTGGTAGCTTTATTAATTATTTCAGATTGCATAAGCCATCCTGTAGATCGGTAGATATTATCAGCACATCTACATTAAATAGGCGAGCGCACATAATTTTATTTAGTTGTGATTGTGCTTGAGAATGGGAGATACCAGAGAAATGTCTAGCGATATTCCACCGCAGATTTGCAAGACGTTGAAACAGTTGGTGTCCGGCGATAATGAAAACTTCGAGATAGCTTATCACAACCCCAATAAGAAAGGTGAAGGATTCTCGGGAGAAGTTATTTTCGTAACATTGAAGGACAAAAAGACTAACAAGGAATTGAATGTTATCGTGAAGCAATCATTTAGAGATCAGGCGATCAGAGATTGGGCACCAATAAGGGATATGTACATGAACGAGATTTACTTTTATTCGAAGGTTTGGCCCACGTTGGACAAGTTTCAAGAGCAAATCCCGATAAAGTACCGCTTCCAGAAGATACCCAAATGCTTGACAACAGCTTCGAATGATGACTTTGAGTACTTAGTCATAGAAAACCTGAAATTTCAGAATTTCCTCAATCACGATAAGAAACTGCCTTTAGACAAGGACTACTACGAACTAATTTTTAAGGAGTACGGAAAGTTTCACGCTTTATCATTCGCTTATAAAGCCTTACATCCTGAGGAGTACGTCGATTTGGTAGAAGGGTTGACAAATTTATACGTGGAAATTATCACGAATGAGACCTTTCAAAAGACGATGAAGTATTCATATGAAAGTTGCATTGAAAGCCTTCAACCAGGAGTAGATGATGCCGTGATCGAAAAGTTGCAACCATATCTTCAAAATTATCTAAATTTGATCCTAGAGATTTTTGAATGTAAAACGAAATATTCTGTTATTACCCATGGAGATTGTTGGAGCAGTAACATGATGTTTAAATACGACGTAAGTAGTCAGTGATAGTAACTAACTGTATTTTAACATGGATATAAATATTAAATAATGCTTATAAGAAAAGCATGTAATAGTGAGATGTGATTTATTAGTTAGCTTTGATAATAGTGACATTTGAGATATGATAAGAATAAATATCTATTTAAATTTACGTAGCTATTCTAACGCTTTTATATTAATATTGAACACACTTATAACATCACTATAATTAGGTAGTACCAAAAACGTTTTCTCTTAAAATAACCCAATTAATAAATTTTATTTTACTTCCTCAATATATAAAATGGGGAATTTTGAACAATTGACTGCGATTATGCAATAATAAATATAAACAATTGTTGTTGATGTTAACCATTTAATTTAACTGAACCTAACCTAACACTCAATTTTCCAAAATATGTGAAAATCATATATTAACGTTAGGTACCGAAAGTCCCTAAATTTTACTGCCCATACAATATTTAAATACTTGTCAAATATTAATGTTCAATTTTAAGAACTATAGAAGAAACATTTTTTATAATAACCTAAACTCTTATACCTAGGAACTTTGCAAAAAACTGTATAAATAATTTGTTGTTTCAAAAAAATAGGGGGAAGATTGTTTACAGGGTGGTCAATTGTATAATTTTTACGTAAATTCACGTTTATCGCTTATAACTTTTTCCGTTAATTTCCACGAGAAAACAGTAAACTACTTTTTTTTTTCGTCTTCAAAAGACCTACAAAACTAGCCCTCGAGCGTCAAAAAATATTGATTAGATCAAAAGTTATAAACAGAAGCAGTTTATTTATGACTTTTGAATTAAACATTTATAAACTGCGTTATTACCAGAACGTTTTGGCATCGCATCCTCTCATTCCTTATCACTGTCTAATAACTCACACGAAATCTGGAATCGGTAAGTTGAATAGTTTAGTTATGCTCTTATAAACAAATTAACTAGTTATTAGTCTGGACAATCTCAAGCATCTTCCACAATCGCACTAATTTTTTTCATGGTAATACATTGAAATCTATCATTTTCTTTTTAAATTTCAAATTTGCAAACTGGATTTTTTTTGTATTTTTTAGGCATAGTTGCAAAATGAAATATACGACGCATGCGCGTGATATAGTTATATATTATTACATATTCGGAAAGCTTATGAAATGAGCTTTAAGTTAAAAAAATCATCAAGATTCGTTGAAAAACAACGGAGTTACAGACTGACAAAGTTGACGGCCTATTGTTAAGCAAATTAGGTTGTTAACTGCAAAAAAATACTATCATAACCGGCAACCCAAGGAATTTCCCAGAAAAAAATATTTTATTTGTGGAAGTATGTTAAACGCATAAGAAATATTGTCAAAAGTCAGTGGGTCGCTTGATTTTTCGACAAACCGTGGCGCGGCGAATGGATGGGGGAACCAACGACAGCGAGTCCGAAAAAAATTACGATAATATCCTAATCCTGCCGTTAAAAAAGCGAAATTCGCTTGAAAATTATATATTTTTTATTGTCTGTAACTCCGTTGTTTTTCAACGAATCTTGACGATTGTTTTTAACTTAAAGCTCTTCATAAGCTTTCTGAATATGTAATAGTATATAACGTACGTGCGTTGTATATTTCATTTTGCTACTAAGGCTAAAAATAAAAAATAATTTCAAGTTGCAAATTTGAAATTTAAAAAGGAAATGATATATCTCAATGTATTATTATGAAATCTACCATGAAAAAAATCAGTTCGATTGTGGAAGATGATCGTCGAGATCGAGATCGTCCAGACTAATAATTAGTTAATTTGTTTATAAAGCCATAACTTGTAAACTATTCAACTTACCGATTCCAGATTTCGTCTAATCAATATTTTTTGACGCTCGAGAGCTAGTTTTGTAGGTCTTTTGAAGACGAAAAAAAGTACTTTACTCGTGGAAATGAACGGAAAAAAGTTATAAGCGGAAAACGTAAATTTATGTAAAAATTATACAATTAACCACCCTGTAAACAATCTTCCCCCCCATTTTTATGACTGTGGAAACTAATATGTTATTGTACATAATATTTAGCATCTATAGTGATAAATTCAGCTTGCCGAAACAAAAAGTCGCGAAATGGTCATTTCCCAGCTCTTTTTCCTGGCCTATATTTCAATTATTAATTCTTTCTACAGGAGTCCAAGAAGGTGACGGATGTAAGGTTCCTTGACTTTCAATTGGCAAGACCCACATCTCCTTGTTGCGACCTCTCATATTGCTTTTACTCGGGAGCTTCGAGGGAAGTTCTAAAGGATCTGGACTATTATCTTCAAATTTACCACGACAGCTTATCCGAAACCCTTAAGCAGTTCGGATGTGACTCTGGGAAACTTTACCCTCTGCAGGAACTGAAGAAGGACTGGAAGATTTTTTGCAAGTTCGGACTGAACATGGCTTTGATGGTTTGGAAAGTTAAATTCATATACGACGATGAAGTGAAAACCGCTACAGATATAGAAAATGGCGAATTCGACAAAATGTTCCAAGGCGGCTACGACAAAGATGGATACAATAAAGCTATCAAAGATTTGGTGAACCATTTTCATGAAAATGGTTTTTTGTAAATTAACCACAATAAATTAATTGTTAAATGCTTAATATCTTTCTTTTTTTAACATCATTATTCGCCAGTCATTAAATACAACTATCAGACATTCTTTTAAATATTTGCTTGGATATTCCTTTTTCCACATGGCAAAGTAATTTGCAATAAGTGTCTCCTACATTTTGTTTACTAGTACATACGTACCTACTTTATAACACAGGACTCGAACAATACTCACTTTTGAATAGTCCAAATGGATAGCTCATATGGCCGTGACAAATATTTGGCAGCGAATGATATGCTTTCTAATATATCGACATGCACCATTCACAATATAAGGCATACTTTTTATTCTCATATTTTGTCATATCTCCGAAAACAGTGGATAAAATATGAGATGACATTTATTTTGCATCACCCAGTAGCTAATCTTAACTCGAGGTATTTTTTTTTTGTGAGTCAGATAGCCAACGAGACAGAAAGACAATCATGGAGGAACAATTTAAGAGTAAAAGTCTGTTATGGATTAGACACAAAATAGTAATAATATTAAATTAAATGGCATTACCTCAAAATTTTGAAAATATATTTCTGTTTTATCCAGATAGTACAAGTTATCTCCAGGACATTCTTTTAATGTCCTGGTTAATTTAAATTACACAGTTATATTTTTATTTAAATTGAATCCATCCTAAAAAATGCTTCAAGTTCGTGTTCAGCACCTTCGAAAATTAAAAGGTAGGTAAAAAAATAGGTAGGTAGGTAGGTGGTATTCTGATTTATTATTATACATACCCTATAAGGGTATATTTGCTGCTAATATCCTTTTATAGAGGTGGACAAACGAAACAAGTTCATTTTCTTTTAATTTTTCATTAGACTATACTCTGTTTGGAAATGAAAGAGAGTAATAAAACCCCGAGATAAAAACCGGCTATGGGCGTGCTAATATTTCGTTTCAGGTAATTATCGGGTAACACTAATGCTAACAGGTAATGGGTGTACATTAGTATATTTTATTGGATACATCATAGGGCAGGAGCCAGTGTATTGTGACAGATCAATCCAGTCTTAGAGCTGAATATACGAAGACATGCTAGTGCAGTAGAGTAAAATTCGACTTGTGTTTAGTGACTATTGTGCCAGTGGATATAATATTGTTTGGGTAAAATGTCGAGCTTATCAGATTACGTACCTGCTAAACGCGTGAAAAGATGTGCGCTGTCTCAGAATGAGAAGATTATTATATTAAATGTATTTAATGCATTGAAACACCAAAATCCTACCAACAGTGTTGACGACATCGTGGAAAAGTGTTCCAAAATGACAGGGATTGGAAAATCGACTATCTACAGACTTTTAAAGGAAACAAAAAATGAACAAGATACTGTAAATCCCCCAAAATCATCTACAGGGAGGTCAAAAGTCGTTATAGATGATTTCTTCAAAAATGTCATTCGCAGAAAAGTACACTCATTTTATTTTAAAAAAGAAATACCAACGCTAAACAAAATTTTAAGTGAACTTTCAGAGGACAACGATTTGCCAAAAATCAGTAGAAGCAAATTATGGGCCGTCTTACGAGAGTTGAATTTTTGCTGGGAAAAGCAGAACAGGAAGTCAGTTCTTATCGATAAAGATGAAATTATTTGTTGGCGAAGATCCTACTTAAGATCAATTAGAAAATTCCGTGACGAAGGGAGGAATATTTATTATCTAGACGAAACTTGGGTCAACGAGGGATATACTGTAACAAAAGTATGGCAAGATAAAAATGTAAAAAGTTTTCGACAAGCATTTTTGGATGGACTTTCAACAGGGTTCAAGGCACCTTCAGGTAAAGGGCGAAGATTAATAGTGACACATATAGGTAGTGCCAGTGGTTTTGTAGATGGCGGTTTACTTTTATTTGAATCTAAAAATACAGGTGACTATCACGAAGACATGAACGCAGATGTTTTCGAAGAGTATTTTACACAGATGTTGGATCTTATTCCTCCGGGGTCTGTAATTGTCATGGATAATGCCAGTTACCATTCACGGCAGACCGAGCGGACGCCTACGACTGCTTGGAGGAAAGCCGATATAATTCAATGGTTATCCGGAAAAAACATTTCTTTTGAAACAAATATGGTGAAAAAGGAACTTTTGACACTTGTCAATCTTAATAAAGATCAGAAAAAATATGTTATCGATGAAATGGCAACAAATCGCCAAATAACGGTACTACGGTTACCACCTTATCACTGTGAACTTAACCCAATCGAATTAGTCTGGGCGCAGGTAAAAGGAGATGTAGCGCGAAATAATACGACGTTTAAATTAAGTGACGTGAAAATTTTGTTAAAAAATTCCTTGGAACGAGTAACTGCAGATAACTGGCAAAGATGTATACATCATGTACAAAAAGAAGAGGAGAAAATGTGGGAACTCGATAATTTAATTGACGTTACTGTGGAACCTATCGTTATCAATCTAGGAGACGAAGATAATTCATCAGAATATTCAGAGGATGAATTTTAATATACCTACTTTTTTATTTTCTTTATTGTACATTTATACAACACTACATTTACTCACCATAATTTGAATTTTCAAAATACATATATTTTTGTGTGGAATAAAAGTCTATTCATTAAATTTAAATAAATATTTTGATAATAATATTGAATAATTTTATTTGAATTAGTAAAAACCCTCTTAATCCGGTTATGCTGCTTAAAGTAGCCTCATATTTTGAAATGCTGTTTTTATATGGTTTACTTATAAGAGAAATGGACCGAGAAATTGAAGAGGCATAGATAAAGACGGATTGTCGGGGATTAAATTTTAGCTACCTGCTACAATTTAGTACAGTCCGATCGCACAAAGTTTTGTTGAAAGTAGGTCTCATCTATACGGAAAATACATAATATAAAAATATTGAATATAGCACCAGTACTACATTTATTTACGATTTGCATACATAATGAGCTTTTATTACTCTCTTTCATTTCTGAACAGACTATAGCAATGTAGGATACAATTTAAAAACTGAAATTATGTAAAAGTAGGTTTAAATTTTATACTATATGTATAGAACCTTGTTCTGTTGAATTTAAGGATAATAGTTTTATTTAAATTGGAAGTTATCCTTTCAGATTCCATAGGCGTTGTTTAGTTTAATTCAGTCGTGTTATTTTAATTCCATCCGTATTTTGATGCGGGCCGAGTCATGTTGCAACGGGGAAGTGAACGACAACCTTAACATTGTTGCAAAATGTTCTATGAAATTTTCTTTGAAAGAATGAATTGTGTAAGCCATCCTGTATCGGCAGATAGTATCACTACATTTACTTTAAATATGAGAACGCACATAATCTTACTCGGTTGTGATTGTGCTCGAGAATGGGAGATACCAAAAAAGTATCTAGCGACATTCTGCTAGAAGTTTGTAAGACGTTGAAACAGTTGGTTGATGGAGATGAGGAGAATTTCGAGATAGCTTGTCACAATCCGAACAAGAAGGGTGAGGGATTCTCTGGAGAAGTGATTTTCGTAACGTTAAGGAATAAAAAAACTCGCAAAGAATTGAATGTTATTGTGAAGCAAGCTTTTAGGGACGAGGCACTCAGAGACGTAATGCCAGTTAAGGATATTTATATGAACGAGATTTACTTTTACTCGAAAGTATGGCATACTCTAGACAAGTTCCAAGAACAAATTCCGATGAAGTACCGCTTCCAGAAAGTGCCCAAATGTTTGGCAACATTTTCCAACGCGAACTTTGAGTACTTAGTCATGGAGAACTTGAAGTTTCAGCATTTCCAGAATCACGATAAGAAACTGCCTTTAGGCAAGGAATATTACGAACTTATCTTCAGGGAATACGGGAAGTTCCACGGTTTATCATTCGCTTATAAAGCTTCACACCCTGAGGNTTCCAGAATCACGATAAGAAACTGCCTTTAGGCAAGGAATATTACGAACTTATCTTCAGGGAATACGGGAAGTTCCACGGTTTATCATTCGCTTATAAAGCTTCACACCCTGAGGAGTACGCCGATTTGGCGAAAGGGCTGGTAGATATATTTTTGAGGATTGTCGAGAACGAGGTTACTCAAAAAGGGATAAAGTATTTATACGAAAATTGTATTGAAAGTCTTCAACCAGGAGTTGATGATGCCGTGATAGAAAAGTTGCGACTATATCTACAAAATCACAAAGAGTTTTTACTAGAGATTACAGATAGTAAAACGAAATATTCTGTTATTACTCATGGAGATTGTTGGAGCAATAACATGATGTTTAAGCACGACATAAGTAGTCTGTAATAATACCTAACGAAATTTGAACAATTTGCATAATTGAAGAATTCTATCTATTAGTTAAGCGTTTGATAACAGTGATATTTGAGATATAGTATAGTCGAATATTTTCATTTCATTTAACAATAAAACCGTATTTACAACTATATAAAAAGTTCCCTGAACTAGTAGTACAGATAATGAGAAACTGTGACAATAAAGATTCGATTTCAATCTCAGTTTTAAGCAACATAATGTCTGACAAACGACACCTGCTGGCAATTAAACCCTGAATATTAATATATGCATTTTCAATTGTTAAAATTTTAATAATTACATTTAATTTGTTCTATGTTTTAATATTGGTTTATTACGAATTGCCTTTGTTGTTTTCGAACAGCGATAATTCTGTACTAGTGCAAATTGTAGATAATTCTCAAATGTCTTTAATTGATCAATTTTCAGCATTATCAAGATGTGACGTGAGACAAACTTCTATTTTCCTGTTTTAACTTGTTCCATAATTTTTTGGAACAACAATTATAACAAATGTTATAAAGAAATGCTTCTCATTAGTAACAGACCAATTTGTGTAAACTGTTTATAATATTCCCAATTAGCCCATAATTTGATTCTCTTATATTTAGTCTTAGCTTTATTCCTAATTTCATAAGCAATCTTATATGATCCCTCAACCTATGGACACCACTTCTTTGTGATGGAACAGATTTTAAAGGAAAATGTTATATCAAGTAGCATCAGCAATAATTGTTAACTTAAAAAGTTAACGTTATCTTTAATCTGCTTCATAAGAAAACATCATGACTCGACAAGTTCAACCACTAATGCAATAATAGGTACAATTAACATATGAAGTTAGAATTTTATCTATAAACGATGTTGAAGTATTGGTTACAAGTGTTCCGCTACAATTTAATGAACATCATATCATTAAAGTGTACTGATCATCAGTTTTAAATAGATCTTTATTTATATCACTCATTCGATAAATGGCTTCAGCAGTTTGCGTTCAAGAGCGTCATTAAAAAAACTTGTAATTCATTTCTGGAGATCTATAGACCAAAAGTATAAGAGATAGTATCAACCTTAATTGATATCCATAAATAACCATGTTTTGAAAGTCAGTGTTTTTGAATAAAGGCAAAAACCAAATGATCCAATACAAATGAACTGAATATAAATGTGGTTTCATAAATTCATATTGCATTCACAAATTAATTTAAAACTGAAATAGGTTTGCTCGCATTATTTGATTAAAGATTTTCATTTTAGTTTTCTCCTAATAAAATGTTCAACTATTTTGAACTGTATACAACTGGTTATCCTATAAACTATCATTTGTCCATTACTACAAATATCTAAATAAATATAACTTTTGCCCAGTTAAATTTTACCAGCATTTTGATTCATTTTGTACATTTCAAAACGTAGTAGGGAAATTGCTTAATAGGCTTGAAGTAACTATTTTAAGATTGGAACATGATACATACTGTATAGCTTTTATCTACTATATCTTATCTACAGTATAAGTTAATTAACAATTTTTCTGGTAATATTAACAATGAAAATGAGGTGATATAATGACATGTATCTACGTACATACCATTAAGTCAAAACCTCTTAAAAATAGTGATGTCGAACAACCTTTTATCATGATTACTCAAGACATTCCTAATATACACAAGATAGCCATTACTCATGAATTATTGTCTAGATGATAATATAAAGCACACGCTCGAGGTAGACAGATTATGTAATATAATTAGGCAACCTGTTGAACTTAAATAGGAAACTACTAAGTAGATAGCGACTCTCTAATAAAATCCCTTTTATGTTTATTTATATTTTCAACAGAGGTGATAGGGATTTTACAAGAGACCCGCCATCTAGTAGTTTCTTGTCTAAGTTTGACTGGTTGTACAGATGCATTGTCTCCTGAGATAAAATTCAATAAGAGCAATTACAAAAAAAATGTTTCTTCAAAAGCATATCTTGTGAGAACCACTAAGTAATCTTTTTATTGAGACAATTTCTATAATATTTCATATTTCTTGAGATTTGCAATAACGATTTTAAAGATAGCGTAAATGTCTTGAATCCATGATTTTCATATAACAGTATATATTTTTCAGAATAAATGCCATCTTAATTTTAAAAATCGTATTCATAATAGTATATATTTATAAAATAAATTTCTTTTTGTAGATGCCTTATATTATTGATTATTCTGCTGCAGAGAAGATTTCTACCAGGTACACTGTACCAGGTTTATAACGTTAGTTCTTCATTGTGATCATAGATGGTACTGATTGTATCACTCATTCGTATATTCAGTATTCTGTGCAGGGAATTTTAAAAACGATATAAATGGTACCGGTGAATTTACAACTAAGAAAACACACTCTTCACCCCTTAGGAGATACCGTCTTTCAAGGTATGAAAAACCGGCTGCAATGAAAACCAAACAAGCACAATTGTAAAATATTATACAGATTTCTACTAACACAACTGTAACTTTTCAACCATTTTTCGAAAATTTCTGCCCCTTGTAGAGGGTTGACACAAGCATCTTCCAAGTTATTTTTTGGAAAAAAATTTAGTATTCAGAAATACGTATCATTTTAAAATTTTTGACTTTCTCACCTTTTTGTTCACTCACTTCACTTTTGGGATACATTGTTTTCCCTGCGGCGTAGTTTTTCTAATATTCAAAGAATACTTACAAACATGTGGGAGCTAATAAAGGAATATATGTATTTTTGAAGGATACTTATAGCGTGTACTAAGATTTAGGGATTTTTAGTAGACAATACCAATAGTGTAATGTTGAAGCTCGAGGGTCACATGGCTTGCGAGCATTTATGAATAAGACTTACTGGTTGATCTAAGGAAGCACTGGGAAATCTCACGAAAGATAACTGACATAAAATAGCATAGCAGTCTGTATTAGCTGCTGCAACTGAGTGAGTGAGTGAATGTTAATTAATTTAATTTATTTATTTTTGATAATAAATGGTCAATTTTAAAGCAAAAAGTGAGAAAGGCAAACGATTTAAAAGAATCCGCGGATTGATTCGTACATCAATACTCTTTTGCCAAACAAAAAAGACTTAGGAATAAATAAATTAAGAAATACTTATGTCGACCCCCTCCAAAGGGCAAAAGTGGTTGAAAAGTTACACCTGTATTAGTAGAAAATCTGTCAATTGTAACTTTTTCGACATTCGACATGTTCTTTTTAGCTCTAGATTTACCCGAACCATTCTGCCATTTTCTTTAAGAACACCCTGTACATGTTATTTATTAATTATATCCACTAAAGGTAATTATTTTATTTTAGTAGAGCGTCGTCTTCAAACTTACTAGTAGATTTAACTTTTTAATTCGTGTTTTTATCAATTTTAAGAAGTTTATTTTCAGATTTCCCAACATATTTTCCTTATTTAAAATCACTTGTATCCTTTTCTGTCGGCCCGGAACCTCCGATAATAAAATCATTTATTTAAGTGAACTGCATGCATTTATATGAGCTTTGTGGGGCCAACTTATATTAGCAGTGGACCTTTAGTAAAGATCTAATATATCTAGAGTGGGATAAAAAGCGATTGTGGTATAAATAATGCATAAGTAATTTTTTATTAAAGGAGAAGCTTCCAAACTCGTGGCAGTGGGTATTTACATAAATTAAAGTTGAGAACTGTTTAGATTTATAATATCTTTTATTAAATAACTTTTTTACTATTTACTATTAACTTTAATTAATTTATTAATAAAAATATAACAATATCTTACAAATTTCTCTCTCTATTCTAACATATTACAATAGGGAGTCATTTTTACATCGTGAAAGATATATACACGTATACATTAAAAACGTATTTATGAAGACATATAAAAAAAATTATTAATTCTAAAATTATCATTGTAATTATTGTTGTAATTTAATCTGTTGGCTGTTTATATTATTCCATATTTATAACAAATTAAACAAATACTTATAATAGAGACATTTCAGCTTAATAGCTCATACATAGGTCTTGTAAAAATAAATATACACATTTAAAAACAATAACATTATTTGTACAGGGTGTCCCATTAAGGTCGGCGAGATACGATATTAAGGAAAGTATATAGGTAGGCCCTAGAACTTCGGGAAAAAAATGTTGATGCATAAATCAACCAAGAGAAATCGCTGGAAATAGTTTTCAAGTTCGTTGCTCGGCCGCTAGGGGGCGCAAGCAACATACCAAAACATAGAGTTGAATTTTTCTCAAAAATGTCTCCTATTCAGGTCTATTAAATAGTACAAATATGGATAGTCGGATTCATTGAGCATAACTTTTGACTTTTGTCATTGACAGACTGTCAAATATATTATTTCCAAGCTAATTTCCCATATTTAACGGCAGGACTATGATTATTATCGTCATTTTCTTCGGACTCGCTGTCGTTCGCTTCCCCCACCCTTCCGCCGCGCCACGGCTCGCCGGAAATCAAGCGACCCACTGACTTTTGTCAATATTTCTTATGCACTTAACATGCTTCCACAAATAAAATATTTTTACCTGGGAAAGTACTCGGGTTGCCGGTTATGACATTATTTTTTTTTGCTGCTACCAACCTAATTTGTTGACAATCTATAACTCCGTTGTTTTTCAACGAATTTTGACGATTTTTTCTTTAACTTCAAGCTCTTTTCATAAGTTTTCCGAATATGTAATAATATATAACTATATCACACTCGTGCGTCGTATATTTCATTTTGCAACTAAGGCTAAAAAATAAAAAAATTTCCAGGTTGCAAATTTGAAATTAAAAAAAAATTATAGATTTCAATGTATTATTATAAAATCTACCATGAAAAAAATCAGTGCGTTTGTGGAAGATCCTCGGGATCGTCCAGACTAATAACTAGTTAATTTGTTTATAAGACCATAACTTGTAAACTATTCAACTTACCGATTCCACATTTCGTGTGAGTGATAACGAATGAGAGGATGCGATGC